TCCCGAATCTGAGGCAACAACTTGGAACTGGAAAGTTTTCAGCGTTTCAAAGTCAAAACTTTTCAGCGCTAAAATCTCCCCATTATCCGAGTTTATATTTAGAAATGAACTGATTTTATTATCTTCACTTCCGTCTCTGATGATATGATAGGAAACGCGTGCACAGTCATTTTCATCACGATCAGAGGCTTTCACCGCAAATACGGAGGCTCCTGGACTGTTATTCTCTGTGATATAAAACGTGTAAGGACTTGTTGAAAACTCTGGACTGTTGTCGTTTACATCTGATATAACCACGCTTATAGTCTTTTCAGTTAAATGGGGAGGTTCACCTGAGTCCTTTGCAATAATCGTGACATCATATTGAGAAGTAATTTCTCTGTCTAACTGGGAGATGGTAACTATAGCGTACATATTTTCTTGTAATGATGGAGATAACGTAAATGGGACTCCTTGTTTGATTGCGCAAATGACCTTACCATTGATTCCAGAGTCTAAATCGGTGACACTAATGAGGGCCACTGTAGTTCCTATCTTTGAATCTTCCTTGATAGAACTAGAAAATGATGTCACTTCTATCTCAGGTGCATTATCATTCACGTCAGCAACGGTTATCACGACACTCTTGCCAGTTTTTAATGGAACATGTGCCTTATCAGATGCCTGAATATCAATTTCATAACTTGTACTTTTCTCGAAATCTAATTTACCTGTTACATGAATTTCGCCAGTGTTTGCATCTATACTAAAAAGCTCCATTATTTTTGGATCGACTTCGTTACCGAATGAATATATTATTTCACCGTTTGCTCCCTGGTCCAAATCTGTTGCATTCACTTGAATGACGACAGTACCAGTGGGGATGTTTTCTTTAAGTGTAGCAGAATACAGCTCTTTGGTGAACACTGGGGAATTGTCATTAATATCAAGTACATCCACAGTGATTTCTATATCGCCTGATTTCGCCGGTTTCCCTCCATCAACGGCTGTTAAACGTAACTTGTGCTTCTCGTTTGTTTCTCTGTCTAACTGCTTCTGCAGAACTAAGAATGGTATTTTCTGGTCTTTGCCACGGTCCTTTACTTCTACTCTAAAATATTCATTATGACTTAATTTATATTGCTGAATTGCGAATTGGCCCACATCGGGGTCACGCGCGGCCTGTAGCTGAAATCTCGCTCCTGGTAGAGCCGACTCGGAAATTTCAAGCCTTTTCTCTTTCTCTGGAAAAACGGGAGAATGATCATTTATGTCTAGTATTTCCACTGCCACATAGTGAATCTCTAGTGGGTTTTCTAGCACGGTTTTTAGGTTGATGGTGCATGCATTGCTTCGTTCGCACACCTCTTCCCTGTCTATCCTTCTTTTCACATACAGGATGCCATCGTTTTGATTCACCTGGAACAGTGATTCCGTTGAGCCTGTTACAATGCGGTATCCTCTGCCTTTGAGTGCACTCTTATCAAGCCCCAAATCCTTAGCTATATTTCCCACTATGGTTCCATCTTGAACCTCCTCAGATATGGAATATCTGATCTGTGCAAAAGCTCCGCTACATAAAATAACCAAAACAATTATGAAGACGAACCAACACCGCCGGTCCTTCCGTGCTTTGCCTTCCCTTTGTTCCATGACAAAGATGACTGAAAATAGTCCATAAAATCCCTGCTTGCAAAGCCAGCCAGTGTCCGATGATCCTATACGTTAACCAGGATCTGTTTGGGGGAATGCTCTGAAAATAAAGCACACTCGTTGCCGTGAATCACGATCTTACCTTGAAATTTGCTATTTGAGAGAAAAATAGCATATCGGCTCGGTTGAAATACCACTCGTGACGTAAGGTACTGCCAAATACAGAGAACCACTGAACTACACTGACATCAAGCGTTAGGTTTTGTTATTTACACAGACTACAGTTAAAAAAAAACCCAAAAAAAACCCCAGATGAGTTATATTCTCACGCTGACGTAAACAGGTCTTTATTGACCTATAGGACCGGATTTTGCACAAAGCCCAACTCTGGACACTCGAATACATTTGAAAATATACAAGTACAAAGTACTTGTATAACTACAACACGTATACATTATGTGTTGTACTTTTCTGTAACTGTGTAGTTAGCATATACTAAGTAGAAAACATCAGCAAAAAATTCCACACAAATAACCTTACCAAAAACCCACAAGTGGAAGAGGAAAACGGTTTTCAGTGTTTACTAATGCCCGACATTTGTGGCACCAGTAACAAATCAGCACCATGGAGAGTGAACATAGAGTACTGGTAAAAGTATTACTCTTGTAAAATATAATAAAAATTAAACTAAAAACGCTTTAAATGAAATCAAATTCTCCCATATACCATTCAAAAAACTCATTAAGCCACTGTTAGCTAATATAAAATAACCCTACCTCTTCAGGTGTCCGTCTCCTATCAGGAAGCACGAGTGTATTTCCATGGCTGCCCGGAACTATAGTAGATCCTATACTCATTCTGGGTCCAACTAGCATGTACCGCTTCTCTCCTGATCTGTACTGGATGCTGTGACACAGTGTCCCATCATAATTAGTCTCTGGCAGATATTTAGAAGTATAGTCTGTGGATTTGGAGCACTGCATCGCAATCAGCACGATGATGCTGACGAGAAAAAGTACAGAAACTGCGCCCAAAGATATCACGAGGTAAAATATGACATTACTGCCCTCAACATCTTTTGCTGCACTTTTAACATCAGAAGCTGCAAAAGCCTCTTTGGGCTCCACAAGTTTGACAATCACAGTAGCTGTTGCTGAGAGAGAAACGTTGCCGTTGTCTTTGACCAGTATGATCAGTTTATGCTCAGCCTCGTCTGTCTCTGTGAATGAGCGAAGTGTTCTGATCTGTCCTGTATAGCGGTCCAAAGCAAAGAGACTGTGGTCAGTCACTTCCTGCAGTGAAAAGAGCAACCAGCCGTTATATCCTATATCAGCGTCATAGGCTCTGACTTTAGTCACCAAGTGTCCTGCGTTGACGTTTCGGGGAATCTCCTCCACACCTTGAGCAGAACCGTTGGAGCTGAGTGGATACAGGATGACTGGAGCGTTGTCGTTCTGATCCAGGATGAAGACGTTGACTGTGACATTGTTGCTTAGTAACGGAGTTCCAGAGTCTGAGGCAACAACTTGGAACTGGAAAGTTTTCAGCATTTCAAAGTCAAAACTTTTCAGTGCCACAATTTCTCCATTTTCAGAATTAATATTTAGAAAAGAGGTGAGCGTATTTTCTCCCCCCCTTTCTCTTAAGATAAGATATGAAATAAGAGCATTACTTCCCTCATCATTGTCTCGGGCTGCCACTGAGAAGATCGACGCCCCTGGGCTATTATTCTCAGTTATGTAGAAAGTATATGGATTCTGTAAGAACTCAGGGCTGTTGTCATTCACATCTGAAATAACAATATTTATACTTTTCTCCGATGATAATGAAGGTTCGCCTGCGTCTTTAGCAACTATCAGGACATTATACTGGGATTGTTGTTCTCTGTCTAAAACCTGTTTCGTTACTAGAGAATACATGTTACTTTGTAAAGAAGGTGCAAGCAAAAAGGGAGCATCTTTGCTTACATAACATACTACTTTTCCATTCAAATCAGAATCGGAGTCTTTGACACTAATTAATGCCACTGTGGTTCCTGGTTTTGAATTTTCAGGGAGTGCATGAGAAAAAGATGTCACTTCAATCTCTGGTGCATTGTCATTTACGTCAATTATATTAATAATGACGATTTTGTCTGTTGTCATTGTAGCTGGTCCTTTGTCGGATGCTTGAATGTCGATTTCATACCTGACGCTTTCTTCAAAGTCTATGAGTCCCGCAACTATAATTTCTCCAGTAACCGGATTTAAGTCAAAACGTTCACGTACCCGTGCTTCCACGTCATTTCCAAATGAATACACAACCTCACCATTTAATCCTTCATCCAGGTCTGTTGCATTAACTTGAATCACAGTCGTACCAAAAGGAGAATTTTCTTTGAGGTGCGCACTATATGCCTCCTTACTGAAAACAGGAGGGTTGTCATTAACATCGGAAACATTAACAATTATTGTCATGTTACCAGATCTTGGAGGTTTACCTCCATCAAAGGCTGTCAGAAGCAACACATGAGTTTTAACAGATTCTCTATCAAGTGATTTTTGAAGGACTAAACTCGGTGTTTTACGGTCTTCGCCCCGGTCTTTCACTTCTAAACGGAAATGTTCATTGTGACTCAGCTTGTACTGCTGGACAGACAGCGAACCACTATCAGCATCACGGGCTGCTTGTAACTGAAATCGTGCTCCTGGTAGTGCAGATTCAGAAATTTCCAACGTATTTTCTTTTTCAGGAAAGATCGGTGCGTGGTCGTTTACATCCAGAATCTCCACTGCCACGTAGTGCACCTCGAGTGGATTTTCTAACACTGTTTTTAGGTCGATAACACACATCTTGTTTCGGTCACACACTTCCTCTCTGTCGATTTTTCGGTTCACATACAAGATCCCATTATCTGTGTTTACTCGGAAAGGAGGCTCTGCTGAGCCGGAGACAATGCGGTACCCCCTCTCTTTCAGTGTAGCCTTATCGAGACCTAAATCCTTCGCGATATTTCCAACAGCAGTTCCTTCTGTATTTTCCTCTGAAATTGAATATCTAAATTGTCCCAAAGCGGTCTTCCAGACCAGAACCAAAACCAAAATGTATACAATCCATATTCTCCTCGTTCTCCACGTTAGGCATCGCCTTTGTTCCATGGCGTAAAGATGAAACAGCGAAATGAAGCAACTTTCAAATCGCTACACTCATACACTCAAATAGGATTGTTCCGCCACACCCGTTATTACAATCTGACAGTTTTTCAGAATAAAAATTCTTAGCGATTAAATTGTCTCTAGTCCTTCACACACAGAAACGTCCTCCATTCGACTGTTTTAAAGGAAGGGGATGGCTCTTGTGTATATAATTGTAACCTTGTGGAAGCATTATTTGTCCTTACACTGACACCAAGTGACAAACAATCACACTGCAGACTTCAAAAAGAAGCATGCTTCAGAAACAGCAAACTTATCGAGATAATAAATGTTGTAACCAAATTAGGAAAAAAAAGAAAAGAAAAACATTCAGCCTACTCCACTTTCGCCATTCTAAAACAAAAGTAAGCAAAACCGTTCTATCCAAATTTCTTTTGACATTACTCTATGCATGTGCTGTTGCTGTTCATGATTACGCTGCCTGTTGTTGTAATGCAATTCCAGTCAGAGGGACACGAACTTGCCACAGAAAATTTCAGCACCGCGGAAAGCGACAATGTAAAAGGTAAACTTCCAGACAAACACGAAACAAATACAAATCCGACTGAAATACCAGGAGTATTTACACTGGCATATTTAGAGGGTATTAAAACGGACAGATAAGCTGAAGCTGTGAAGCTAACGAGTCTAGGATCCTCATGTATGCTAATGCTAGCATTACAACAGCAGCAATATAAGTGATGTACATAAAGGACCTATAATCATGACCCACTGTTCCTATATTGATAGTACATAACGAGGAAAACGTTGTATATTTGAAACACGTTCTATATATAGTGGCAAAGAAGATTTTAGAAACTGTATGAAGGCAGGTGATTTTAATAATTTCAATTCGAAAAATATAAATTAGAGGACGATGATTTGATTATAATAAATTACATTTTTGATCCGTGAACATATCATTAAAGTAAAAATCACCATTTTGAGCTGTTAAAATACAGCACAGAGGTAAACTGTTCATCTTACCTCTTCAGATGTCCTCCGCCTATCAGGAAGCACAAGTGTATTTGCATGGCTACCCGGCACTATAGTAGATCCTATACTCATTCTGGGTCCAACTAGCATGTACCGCTTCTC